TTTGTTGTTGTTGTTGTTACGCGTTGATAAGCATACTAAGTCTTAAAATATGTTAATTTGTGTTGCTTTGTGCTTAACTTCAAACAAACAAACAAAATAAACGTTCTGGTTAAAGAACATTTTTATTGATTGAAGATATAAAAGTTTTGATTGTGCTCTTAGTCGAAATGCTAAGTAACAAATGTGACATATTCTGTCATGTTATTGTTTAATAATTATTCTTATTATAATGTCGCCGTTTCGATTTCAGTGAAATCTGGATTCTTCTTCAGTATCGAGTAAATGGATTTAGAGAATTGAATAACCTGCTAAAGTTGGGCTCCTCCGGCACCATATAAATCTGTTCTTGGATTCAAACAATCTTTTTTAAGCTTAATTGCTACACCACTGAAACAATAGTTTCTGTGATAATAATAATATTGTGAATAATCTTGCTTCAGTTTGTCTCCTCCAGCACCAAGTAAATAAGGTTCTTGGATTCAAACAATCTTGTTTAAGCTTAATTGCTACACCACTGAAACAATAGTTTCTGTGATAATAATAATATTGTGAATAATCTTGCTTCAGTTTGACTTACAATTAAACTTAACTAGATTGTTGGAATCCAAGAACCTTATTTACTTGGTGCTGGAGGAAAACATATTAGAAAGCATAATACATAAAGTGGAGTCTAACTTTACCGGCTGTCGTTGAAACGATTAGGACTGCAACATTAAAAGGTGACTGTTTGTTTAGGACTCATTCACAAGTTTACAATATACATATCTAAAAGATTACTCTAGGCTCAGAACTCTTTATTAGGTAGAGTTAGGGAAGCCAAATCTGAACAAGGTTATACTAGTCTTAGAGTTCCTTCACATGATGGTGGAGGAGAAGAATTTATAAACAATATTTTTCTGTTGCCAAAATTTGTTTACTAGATAGTCTAATAAAATGTAAACGTTAATATTATCATAATCACATAATTAAATTTCTCACCGTGTAGCAATTAAACTTAAACAAAATTGTTTGAATTCAAAAACCTATTTACTTGGTGCTCGAGGAGTCAAACTTAAGCAAGATTATTCGCGATATTACTCGTTGCTGATCCGTAAATAAATATTTTTCCATAAAGCTTTTATGTTGTGGAGCAGGTTATTACTGACAAGTAAAGTTACTAAAATAAGTTCTAACTTTTCCCTGCTCGCTTGCAAAAGATCATATATATTTTAAGTAACAACAGCGGTAAGTTTACACCAAAACTCCGAGGTTCGATTTCCCGCGGTGGACACAGCTGATAGCCCAATGAGACTTTGCTTTTAAAACAAAAACATACAACTGTGATTTGTAGGTATCGCTGGTTTGGTTTTTGTTTGTTGTTAACCATAAAATTACACAATGGGCTAAGCGTGCTCTGCCCACCGTTTTCAACGTTATAACACTCGTTTGGTGTCTAAAAATATTTAAATAACTCAATAAATACTATT